TAAGAAAAAGAAAAAATTCATTAAGATCTACAAAGGACAGGAAATTGTGGAGAGCCATGATCGCCTACATCCTGAAGGAACATGGGACATAGAAGATGCTCTACAAAACTGGATATTAGTTTTGGTATGAATATGAATTGGAAATCATGTGACAGCTGAAACATGCAAATGATTAAGTAAATATGATATAATCTTAAGCATACAATTAAATTGCCTTTAAATATACTGTCACAATTACATAAAATATATACTTTTATAAAAGCATTTACAAACATGGGCATATAAGAAAATCCTATAAACACATGGACATAAATCCACATGTATATACATACACAAAAACATAGACTTGTTCCTAATCCCTTTAGGGTTCTTACTCAGCTAGCCAATAAGAAAGGAGATAAATTGTTCATGTTTTTGCATACCCCCCCCCACCTCAACCAGAAAAAAACCCCAAAAAACTCAATTCCCAGATTGCAAAATTCCATTGGTTACATGAAAAGCACAATTGCAAGCAGAGAAAGAGAGAAAAAGAGAATTTCTTCATTAATCAATAAAAAGAAAATTCGCACTGCAATGATCAGATTTTTTTTCTTTTTCCTCTCAACATCCATCTGTACACAATTGACACAAGGCTTAATATCCATAAAGGAATTTATTTACATTTGCTCATATGCAAAGCCATGAAGCCAAACGAGTGATAAGCCAATAAGGGCGGCCAGAGTTAATTGAAGAAACAGTTAAAAAATGCCAACATTTATAAGAGAAGAAATTTCCACTTAAGCTGGTTGGTTGCTAAAGTGATAGCCAAGTATTATTTCTATAATGCACACTGTGCAATGAAATGATGCACAAAATGAGATTACTGAAAAAGAAAAAAAAAAAACTTTCAATGCATGCATACACACACACAAAATCATAATCTTCATGCCAAAGTTGGCACTGTTCAGCTGGGAATCACAAAAGACAATGGAAACATTACAAGATTCCAGAATGGTGTCTTAGACAAACCAGGCAATATCACCAAAACAGAGAATAACACAATTTCTTATGCACAATTTGGCAGTCAAATGATAATCTCTACAAGGAAATGCTGAAAAGTTCACAGCCAAAATCATTTTTCAAAATTTGACTAAATGACTAAACATCAGTATTGTTTTAATCCTTTCTTAGACAGTCCAAGTGTTTTACAATATGCCTTCATACAATCTATGGGAAGCTTATTGTAAAAGGTAATACTTAATAAAATGAATATGTTTCAAAATATCTTAATCACTAATGATTTCTGTTCATTTAGTAACCATAAGTTCTATTCTAATAGTTTATTTTTTCACACTTCTCACTTGTGGAACTTTTTCAATTTTTTTCTTCCTTGCCACTGATAATCATCAAAAATTTAAATGCAGCATCAACTGCCATCTTCTGTCTTCTAGAATACTGTTCTTTTATTGTCCTTTCTCATCACTTAAGTCTTCTCATTCTCTTCCACACACAGTAATCCCTTATGTCTTAGTGGCATTATTACCTTCCTTTTAGTGATAAAAAAAATTTAAATTGTAAGACAGCAATTCTTTTTCCAAATCTAAATATTTAAAAAAAATTCACCAATACATTCTATTGTTTGACTTCTTTGCTTTTTTACAGCTTATCAACTCTCTAGATTTTTGGGGGGGATTGTAAGAATAGTTCTTTTTTTTGATAAGTGAATATTGCATTAACACTTTTTGGGAGATAAAGATTATTCCAGATATTTAACCTATAGATGGTGGGGAGGAAGACATGGATTCATACCTTTCACAGTATATTCAATGCAACGTTTTTGAATGCAACATTTTTTTTTCTTGTGCTTCATTTTTATTGCTGAGGTCTCAACAGTTGAGAATTGCAAAAAGAATTATAAAGATCAAGGTTTAATTTGAAGGAGTTGACTTTTTTTTTTTAAAAAGGTTCCTAGCTACAAACCAGAGAAATAATGCACATTTTTAATAACTTATAGTATGATACAATCGTTTTTTTTTTTTTTAGTTGATATAATGGAATATGCATACAGCTGTGTTCCCCCTCACTGGAATAAATACCGACGGACGTGTAGGTACGACAGAGTCAAAGAGCCTTAGTCTGAGAGCTAAGTCTATAACGACACTCATTGGACCATGCCATTGATCTATACGTCAATATTTAATACCTGCAACTACAACGCATACCAGTCAATTACTGCTACCGTATTCTACTTGGTTATAGTAGCCAAAACCACTTAGCTACTTCGTTCAAATATATCCCTTTCCGGGACATATCAAGAGTTAAAAAAAAAAATGATTGGAAAATATTCACACACACACGCACATATATCATAGAAAATGGATTAAATCTGACAAATATTTAATATATTTTCTGTTTATGCAATATTTTTTATGGATACACTTATTGGAGTAAATGCTCTGTTCTTTTAATTAAACTGTATTAATTACATTTACCAGTCTGAATGTTCAAAAAATTTTGTAGAAAATATCCATCCTCTGACAGAAATCAAACCAGTATCTTATACACAACCACCATTAAGCCTGGCATGCTATAACTGTTCAGCTACAGAGAACTTCCATTTCATTAAATGTAATTAATACTGTTTAATTAAAAGAACATTTACTCAAATAAGTGTATCTATAAAAAATTATGTATAATGTTGAATTTAATCCATTTCCTAAGATATGTTGCCATTGTTTACATTAGTATACAAGATCAGAGCAGATATAATGGATCAAGCAAGTTTAGCAAACTTGTGTATTTAAAAGCAGTAATTCAAACTTTGCTTAACCAGAAATTCTTTGTTGCTGAATGGTCATAGCATGCCATGCTTAATGGTGGTTCCATATAGGATACAGGTTCAATTCCTGTAAGAAGATGCCTATTTTCTATGAAATTTCTCAAATTTAAATGCAAATGTAATTAATGCTGTTTAATTAAAAGAACAGAGCATTTACTCAAATAAGCGTATCCTTAAAAATTAACATATAAACAGAAAATATATTTTACAAAATTAAACCTTTGACAAAAGAACAACTTCATTAAAAAAGTGGTCAACACAATTTTCAAAAAACAAAAATGTAGACAGTTTAAGATATAAAAAATTTGAAACATTAGCCTTTATACTACCACAGTGGTATCATCAGGCAGTAAGTAAATGTGTGTATATATATATATATATGAATATAAAAAAAATAATATATAAATATATATATGAATAAAAAAAACAAGGAAAATCTACACTTAGCCAATGTGTTTTGTCATCTAATGGACTTTAACAAGGCAAATAAATACCTTGATAAAGTCCATGAGATGACGAAACAAATTTTAGCCATATTTATAATTCTCTCAACACAATGCAGATGGATGTTTTTATAAGGTGTTAACAGCTCTATTGACTGCCTGATATTTGGGAAATTTGACTAATTTTTTTCTACGAGAGACATATCCACAAAAATTAAGATAAAACAAAAACAAAAAAAAAAGATAACATGAGTGCCTCTTTTTATACAATTTTTTTTACTACACAGTAGCCTTAAAAATTTATGAAAATATTCTAAATAATCTAATGTTTATTGAATTTTAGGTAAATTGGCTTTAAATTTACTTTAGTTACCAGTCTTATTTTCACACACAAAAAATTTTGAATCTTTAAAAAATATTTGGGGCTAAATTGTAGCAAGCTTTTCCATTTATGATTAATAAATATAGTTTTTTACTTACTAATATCACCTAACCACAAATTAATGCACAATTTTAATAGATTTAAAACTTTATAAATTATTCTAATTAAAATTTTAAAAAAAGTGAAAACAACTATTGCAAAAATTCATTATTCATTGAGAAAATGTTTTCTCTTAAAAGAATAGTGCCCATAATATATTTTATTCATAAAAGCAATTAAAAGCTTTTCTAATTAAATAATGACTTAGTTTTATTGCATTTTTTATTTTACATTTCAGAGCAGATTTTCTGCAACTAGGGGTCCTTTTAAAAAAAAAAAAAAAATTGACAATTTAAATTCTTCAAAGAATTGTGCTTATAACTAATATAAATATTAAGCCCTACAAAAAGAATTTCTCAGTTTCATAAAATTAAATAAGTGTGTGTAGTAGGACAGGGTAACACATAAAATAATATTTTTACCAAGATTTTCTAAAAAAAATAAAACTTTCTAAAAAGATTTCATTCATTTGTGAATAAGTCATTTCATTAAAATCTAACAATTATTTGATTTTTGCAAAAATTTCTAAATCAATTGTTTTTCTTCGCAAAATGACGCTAAAATTTTCTATACGAATTTATGGTCAGCTGTAGATACAAGAAAATAAAATTTTTTAAGCAAAATTTTCAAGGTTCTAAAAAGGATTCAAAAATATAAATTAAAAATTGAAAAATCCTTTGATCTTTTCTCTTAATAACAGATATTGGGATGATAAAGCTTTATTGTCAAAATATTAAGTCTGGGGCATTTTTTCATAATATATGCTCATATTTTTTTTAAGCAAATCTTTGGAGGTGTGTGTGTGTGTGTGTGTGTTTTAAAATACTATATTTTTGTGTAAAAGTGCTCAGTATTAGGGATAGAGCATTTATAAATATAAAAGTGGTTACTGAGGTCAACACCAGGTGGTGACAGTGTTTTATGCTGAAATGGAATCTTCAGGCTTCAAGATGGCATTTAAACATGAAATAGAATGTCACCACCTGGTGTTGACCTCAGTGTCCACATATAATTCCATTGTAAACAATAATTATTCTAATAAAAAGTTTCTTAAATTTGAGTACTGTTTACAAGGTATATCCTCCATATAAAAAGGACTTTAAATAAAAAAAAAAAAAAAAAGAAGTTATACACTGCAAGAGACACTGAACAGCATGCAGACACAACTTTTATCTTACTCTTACATTACATTTCTACTAAAAAAAAAAACTTCTAGAAAAACAAGAAAGGTTACTTTAATTGCCATGTTGGAAGTGAACTAAAGGCCCTCTTTTTCTCTATCTTCATCAATGGCCAAATAAGCGTCCTGGGAACCAAAGAAAGAAGCAAGGAATTAAATTCTAAAGAAACCCAAAAGTGTACATTTAATGAATTATCTTCTACAACTAAGTTGAACAACAGCATTTTTTTGCCAGAGAAAATTCCACATCAATATTTTTTCTCTATAGAAAAATAAAACTTTATTTCTATAATGTAAACATGCATAAATAATTTAAATTAATTTAATTATCCTGAAGTAATAAGTGGGTGCTTTTGACAGTACAAAATTTTATAAATAACAATTTATATATAAAAAAAAAAACCTATATATATATTGTATTATATTGAGAGAGAGCAAAAGTTGATATATTTGAGGAAATGTTTCCATTGACCACTCCTGTAAGTTCACAAATAATCTAAAATAACTGCCAATCAATGAATGTGTTGATACACAGGGTACTGAGCTCATTTTTTTTAACTACTGGTTTTAAAGATTTTATTAAGAAAAAATAAAAATAAAAATGGGATGAATGACAATGCTCCATGTCTGAGTTTGTCAAATTGGGAAATAGTCAGAGTTCGAAAACCAAATCAAAAACTCAGTCTGAGAGGATTTCATTACTGAACCAAACAGCATTACAAATAATGATAAAAACAATGTACAAACTTGGCAGCCTTGAGAGTGCAGAAGGAATTATGTGCAGTATCTTGTTTTAAAATGTCTATTTATAACTTATTTAGTATATTGTACATGGTTGTTTTGAATACTTTATTCCCCAGCTAACAAGACACAATATCTAAGATGCAAAACACAGAGATACATTAAAAACACAGAAACAATACTCTAAAAACTCAACCATTACACATACCACTGACTGACTGCACAACACCTTAACAAGATAGATTTACACACATTAAAGAGAAAGGCAGTCAAAGAAAATGCCATTTACTATTGATAGGATAGAAAAAAATAAATTAGTGAACAGAGGAAATAAAGATTTATATAAGAGCTTTTAGAAAGACAGAAAACAAAAAACCAACAAACCCTGCATGTAGCCTGTGAAAAAAATATTGATCTGACACAGTAAATAAGAGGACAGAAAGAGATTTCTCAATGAAGAATTGAATCTGATGAACTTACAAAGTTCTGCTTGGAAGACAACCAATCATTAGATGTAGACTAGAGCAGTGTTTCTCAACCATTTTTTTTTTAATTCCAGGTACACATGTAGAATAACTAAAACTCTGATGTGCACTTGAATTTTAATCAGGAAAAATTAGTTATGAAATCTGATGAACTTACAAAGTACTACTTGGAAAACAACCAATCATTAGATGTAGACTAGAGCAATGTTTCACAACCTTTTTTTTTTAATTCCAGGTACACGTATAGAATAAGTAAAACTCTGAGGTGCACTTTGAATTTTAATAAGGAAAAAATTATTTATGAAATTTGAAAATAGGAAAATAATAAAGATGTCTCCTGAAATAAGCATTTATTTTAAAAACATTACATTGTATATTAAAGTATAATTGTGTGAAACCTATGCTTGGAAAGTTTTTGAATGTTTGGCCTTACATATGATAAATATACTCTCATTTTCTCATCAATGCATTTAATATTTGACCTATTTTTGCATTTAATATTGGTCAAGTGCAGATAATTCACAGAGGTATGCTTTTGAAAATTGCAATAAAATATTCAATCCTTTACGAGCAATGGAAAGATATTTTTCTTTAATGAAAATTCAAAATTGACCAATGGACACCTCTTTATGCTTGATTTGTAAGCCACGATCAGTAGATATAGTGACCAGCTCCTCTTCTTCTGTTAATGATAAGCCAATGTCATTAGTTGAAATGTCAATGAAAGGGCTACAAATCCAAATGTATTGTTCATTGTTTATAAATTAAAAGTAAGAAGTCAGATTATCTTCCAGAGATATATATATAAAAAAAAAAAAAAAAATCAAATTATTCTTCTGTCAACTTGAAGTGCACCTGGCTACCTTTCAAGGTGCATTAGTGCACCTCGCACACTCAATGAGAAACACTACACTAGAGCAAGAAAGAAAAGAAACAAAACTTACCTCATCAATTAATGTATCTTCATCCATCCCTTTTAATTTATCTTTATTTTTTCGACCAGGTGAGCGAGTTCTCTTGGAGTCTAGTGAAGGACTAGAATCAATGTTTTTACTGGAACAAAAAAATAAAATAAATAAAGATCTCATAGTAAAATAATTTAATTATCTATTGGACATATATTTTCAAAGAAAAAAATGAATGATTTATTTTTTTTTTCTATGGCTTATCAACCTTTTTCAGGTAATTTAGAGCAGGAAAATATTTTTAAATTGTAAGAAATCTTTGGAGATAATGATTTACTGATACAAGTCCTATTAATTAAGCCATAGCTAGGAGCAGAAGATGTGGATTCATACCTTCCCCAAGGCTATTTGTGTGTAAGTGAATATAACAAACCTCACTAGAAGTGGAACTCATTTTTCCCATTTCCAGTTCCAAACTATTTTCCAGCCTACACATCCAAGCTTACAGCAGCTGGTATTCCCAAATGTTCACCCATCTAAATACTGACTAGGCTTGATATTGCTTAACTTCAGTAATCATACACGAACCAGTGTTTCAATGTGATATGGCTGTAAGCCAAAGAAAAAAATGAACAATACTTACCAATATTTTAATTGTAGATAATGTGAGCACATTCCAACAAATTACATTGTGATATTTCAGTCATAAATTCGTGCACATGTCGACAAGTTTCCATAAATATGAGTTATGACTCATGTAATTGAAACTTGAGTTATTCAAGAGGCATAGTTTTGGCCTCAATATTTTGGCCTGTAATATCCAATGACCTATTTGTTTATATCTCATACCAACAACAGATGCTCTTCTTTGATGTCTTTTGTGTGTCTATCCATGCATCCTTTTATTAATTTATTTTGTAATTGTGTCTCAAATGCTGACAATGGTAATTTCCCAAGCAACTGAGACCAAAATCAATGAAAGTAAACATTTGGGGGCAGGGATCAGTAAGTGATTTTACAATTCTACATTGAGTGTAGTGGTAATTGCTTGAAAGAAATGAACTATTCATTGATAAGAAAATTGTTTTCACCTTTGTCATATCAGTTAACTCAGAATTCTTTTGGCCTCACAGAATATTGCATTAGTCAAGCAGCTTTAAACAATCAAAAACCAAATACACTCAGTGGAACCTTGGCACAATGCAGACAAAGGAGTCTTCTCATCCATTTTTACTTTTTATATTTGCAACAAGGCCAGTTGATGTTTGCTTATTTATTGTATATAAAGTTTTCCCCTTGGAAAATAAAGGAAAGAAAAAAAAAAAAAAAAAGCATAAGTAGGATGTAAATCTTACTTATTATAAAACACAGATTGTGTGTGTGTGTGTGTGTGTGTGTGTGTGTGTGTGTGTGTGTGTGTGTGTGTGTGTGTCTGTAACGTTTATATGTTGGATCGAATTTCCTACATTTTTTAGCTGATTTCAACAAAACTTCACAGGACTACATAAAATTACCTTGTGTGGTGGATCTAACGGGGCCGAAAATGGGAAAAAACACAGTTGTTTTTTTAATAAAATCATTTTGAAAACACGATTAAGACACATCGTGAGAATGAAAGGGGACAACTCACCCACGAAAATGTAAACAAAAGAGCATAGCATGATGAAAAAGACGCCGAACTTGACGAAAACAAAATTTTATTGTCTAATGTTCATATTATTATTAAAGAGGAAAGATCAAAGTATTTTTGGGGGTATTTTTTTTACATTTTTTAATCGTTCCTAGCACGTCTGAAATTTTCGTTAAAATATTGTTTTTTTTGGTCAAAAAAAAGGACAGAATCATTTTCAATCATTTTTTCGATTTGATAAAAAAGATTAAAATCTTACTTTGATATTCTTTTAAAAATCAATTATCATTTTTTCAAAACTGATTTTAATAAAAACAGAAATTATACTGTTTATTTAAAATATTTTGAACCAAGCTTAACTTAGCTTCTGTACATAAAAAAAAATGTAATTTGAAAATAAAACAAAGCAGGTCATAACCTTTCGTGTCGCTTGACGAAAGGCACATTCATGACGTTTAGATAACTTACGGGATGAGAATTCTTTCTACGGATGGAAGGAAGTGAAATTATTTAAGTGAACAAATTATTTACCTTGTTACTTTTAAGGAAAACTTTCAGCGCTCTAATTTTTTTATTTTTTTTTTTTTTGTACTTAGCTTTCATTTTACGTTTACAATGTTTTATGGAAAATATAAAGAAATTAAAAAATAAGACTGTTAATAGTGAGATTAAATTTCATAAGAAAAAGGTATCTAATTAATTTAGGTACCTTTCTTATGAAATTTTATCAAAGAAGTGTACATAAAATACTATAATTTTATGTACATTTATTACATTTTACTGTGTTATTTGTATTTCCATTCATTTTATTATTAATTTTGATATTTCATTTATGGAAAAATGTCATAACTGAGATTAATATAAAAATAAGATCATATAAATTAAAGTTTAGCAGTAGCTAAATTTCATAAGATGATACTGTTACTTGTAGGCACCCTTCTCAGTTGAAATTGAAAACTCAAATTAACTTCTCCATACGTGCAGAAAAAAAAGTAAAGGGCTTAACAGCGGAGAACAATGCTGAACTCAAATAATGCAACTAAATTGTATTCTGGTTGGTCTTCCCATTGCTTGATAATTACTGTCCGACTATAAACACAAAAATTACATTTCTTAATTACCATGGCTAATCTGATTGGTCCAAATTATACAATTTTCAATGCGCTAGACAATGACAATCTCACACGGACATTTTGAAAGGTTGATGTTGCTTTTAAGTTAATGTTAAAATATTTTTTTAAATTCAATTTAAACATTTTTTAAAAATCTTTTCAAAATTAAAGAAATAAGAAATAATTGTATTAAAAATTCAATTTTCATTGAAAAATTTTTTTGCTTTCAGAAAATATTGTCCATATTCATAAAAACAAATTAAAACAAATAAAAGCATTTGAAACTAAATAATATATTTGTTTTATTGAGTTTTGTATGTTACAATTCACAGCTGATTTTCAGGTACGTTGGCCAAAAAAAAAAAACAAAAAAAAACATGATTTGCATTCTTCAAAGCCTTATGCTTTTAAATTGTAATCACTAAAACCGATGGTCTCGAATTTCTAGAGTTTTTCATAAAATTAGTTATGGGGTGTTAATAAATATAAAAAAATATTTCTGCCATGACTTTAAAAAAAAAAAAAAAACATTTATAATAATTTCGATCATCTGTGAATAGTTTCTGAAAGTTTCATTAACATCTGACAATTATTTTTATTTTGCAAGATTTTCCAAATTAATGTGTAAATACAAAAAAACGCGCTTAAAATTATCTATGTTATTTACTACCCCTTGTTGCGACAAAGAGAAACAAGGTTTTTTTAAATCAAAATTTAGAATATTCTAAAAGATGGAAAAATTTTTAAAAATAATAAAAAAAAATTTAGTCTATCCTCTTCATAAAAACATAAGCATTTTGATGATAAAATTTTGTTTTCATAAACTTTGGCGTCTTTTTCATCAGACCATTCTCTATGTTTTAGCGATTCCGTGGAGTGACTTAGGTTAAAAAACCTAGGTTGTGTGTGTGTGTGTGTGTGTGTTCCTTTATATATGGGATCGGATTTCTTACATTTTTCAGCCGATAAAACAAACATCCACTTTTTTTTTCGGCAGGTAGTATTTCTTATTGTCTTGCACACTTTTTTCTTTATTTACATTCGAATGCTTTAAAAATTCCATTTACAAGACAATTGTTTATAATAAAATTCTATTCACCAATCGATAGACTCATAACGATTGTAAACAATGTTTTTGGTTGAATTTGGGTTTGACCAATTCGTAAAAAAAAAAAAAACTAATTAAGACATGCGTGTCCGTCAACCTTAATAATCTTTGTCAATTTTATTTTTCAGTCTTTATGATGGTCGACACTTGATCTATCTCTTACTGTTACATCCCCAGGCAACGCCGGGCTCTACTGTTAGTATTCAATAAAAATATATAATCATTTGGAAAATAAAACGGGCTACAAATACCAATATTTTAGTCACCAAATCTTATTTTAACCTAAAATAGGTCAACATGCTACCTCCTTAAGATTAAAGATACAAATTAGTATTTGTAATTTTTTTTTCAATACTAAGATTTATGTAATACAAGGCTTGAGAGTCACTCAAGATAGAGGGTTACTGGTAAAATTGTTATGATGAATGACGTCTGATATGAATAAAAGAGGAAGTGGTTCCTCAGATGAAACATCAGAAGCATCTTGCTACTCTATCACTATTTTCATGACAAATGTTCTGACATGCAACAATTCCACCAGTTCTGACCTTCACAGCACCAAGCCACATACACTAAGATGAATCATCCCCATTCCCTCTGTATTCTCTTACTAAGAAGGAAGTTCCATTCGGATAGCTTCTTTCCAAGCTGCTATTCTATGAAACACACTTCTGAGAGGATACTTTCCTGATCACTACAATCTTAACCTTTTCAAGTCTAGGGGTTAACCATTATCTTTCCTAAGTATCCTCATAAACTGCACTTCTTACCTCCTCCTCTTATGCTCATACAACCTCATTCTGTATTCTACCATGAGTGGGTCCTAGGCCTTGTATTGGGTGAAAAATTAGTGGAAACAGAATGTTATGTCCAAACTCTAATGGAACAGGTGGAACTAAAGATATGAAACCATCTGAACATTTTCCATGGAAACAGTGAGAGGGTTGTGATAGGTTTGCAATGTTGTGTGTAGGATAGAGGCTGCAGAGTGGAGAATTAGTTTCCTGCCACAAGACTGAATTTTTTTGTATTCTATCAATACTGGAAAGAAAAAGAATCGGGCAGCTCCAGTTCAGATATTCCATTTTTTGTCTAATATGACTCTTGCAAAGATAAAGGGTGAATTGTTAGAAACCAGTCCTATATTTAAAGTTTTTTTTTGTTTTCCCGTTTTTCTTTCATGGTGAGCAATTGGCTCATTCATATTATGCATTGGAAAAGAAAGCAAACTCTTTTGGGTAAGAAAATTCACCTGTAATTTTGATGTATTACATCTTCAGGCTATCATTTGTTTCACACAAGTCAATATGTCTTATTTTTTCAAGAAATCTAACAAGGAATTTGGTTGGGATGAGGGAATCCTTGGAGAATTGTTTGAATCAAAATCAGATTTGTTCATTTATAAAATTATACACAGTTTATTTGTAAAGTTTTCTTTGCAAATAAACTTTATAAATCTTCTATTATGTATCTTGAGATTTGGAACAAAATCCCCAACATCTTCAATATTATTGGTTCCAACTTGGCATCTTAGCTTCAATCACTTTCCTATCACCATAATGTAGTTTTCCTGTGCCTTTTCCACAAATATTTTCATACCAAGTTTTCTGATGAGCTTTTCACTTTGGTAACTTGACTTCATGAACATAATTGTAGTACTAGATTGGTAGTGATTTTACTGTTGAAATTGTTAAATGTAAGTTCTATTCTAATAGTTTCTTCTATCATGCTTTTGCCTAGGAAACTCTTCCAGCTTCTTGGTTTC